TTTATTATTATTATTATTATTATTTTTAATAAAATGCTGAAGTGGTAGGTAGATGCAAGATAAAGGTAGAAAACATAGTTTAGTGTTGTAAGAGAGCAAATGTAGATGATCAGGTGTGTGCCTGTAGACTATGTGTTAATCCAAGCTAGACAAGGGCATTAAAACATCCACAGATGCAGAAGATTTCTCCCAAAACAGGGGGAGTGAGGTTCTAAGCCTCACCACTGTTGATCCCCAATTTCTCACCTGATGGCCCCCCTGCAACTGTGCCTGTCTTAGGTTGTTCCTCCCTTGAGGAATCTTACCCGTCTCTGGCTAACCAGTCATCTTCCGGGGCCATATAGGGAGATGTAAAGTTGTTAAGTGAGAGAGAAGCCATATTGTTTGAAAAGGTTTGTTCTTTTTTTTTGGTATCATTATACAATTACCTGAGCAACATTGTGGATTCCCTCCATTATCAAGTCCCCACCACATACCCCATTACAGTCACTGTCCATCAGTGTAGTAAGATGCTATGGAGTCACTACTTGTCTTCTCTGTCTATACTGCCTTCCCTGTGCCCCACTCCACTGTGTATGCTAATCGTAATAATGCCCTTGTTCTTAAAGAGATTTGTGTTACAGTATTTACAGGTGAAGTGACAATACAACTGCAACTCTCAAATACAGGAGAATAAAAGAGAGATAAAGGTGCCAAATGCTAACAATTGATGAATCTTTGTAAAGGGTACATTGATATTAACAACACTTGCAACTTTTTTCTTCAGGATTCAAATTTTCAAAATGAAAAAAGTAAAGGACCTTCCCCAAACAGGAATTATATTACAGAAAGAAAAGCCAATATACACAAAAACCATGGAGAAAAGTGTATGGGTAAGGAATATACCTGTGCTCCATCTCCACCACTTACAAGAAACTGCTCTCCCAAGATCATTAAAGATCTCCTTGTCAATACCCAACAATGTTTTTAGATTCTATTTGACTGGTCCTCCCTTTTTTTTATAAGTCTTTTCTTCCATAACCTATCTCTTAAACATATGATCCCAAGGTTCTATCCTTGGCCCTCTTCTCTGGGATACCTAATCCATTCCCTTGAGTAGATGCTAACACTTACACTAACAATTTCCAAATTGCTCTTTAATACCACTCTCCCAAGATACACACTCATACATCCAACTCATCCACACACGTCCAGACCAAACTCAGTATCTGCACTTCACCCCAAACTTGCTTTTCCTCGCATCCCATACTTCCTCAGTGGCCAACTGCCTAACCTTTGCTCAATGTCTACATTTCCCTCTAAACCAAGGGTTCTGCACTCTTTTCATGCCCTCTGTGGTTGACAAGATTTTGGCCCCCATAACCTTAAACTCCTGGTGCCAAGACTGTAAATATGTCACATGGCAAAAATTAACTAAGGTTATACTTATCAGTTGCCAATAAAATAGAGAGATTATACTCAGTTATCTCTATGTGGGTCCACTGTAATCACATGAGCTCTTAAAAGGAGAAAATTCTCTTTGGTTGTAGACAGGAAATGCAGCAGAAGGGGAAGTCAGGGAGAACTGAATGACTGGAAAGATTCCTGTCATTGCTGGTTTGATGATGAATGGAACCATAGGTTAAAAAAAAACCAGGGACGTCAGTTCTACAACCACGATATTTAAAACACGTCTTGTCTGTAAAAGTACGGAGTGGTCCAGGTGACCAAATAAAAGGGCAATTCCTTCAACGAATGCAAATGGGAGCCGTAAGTGGGAAATGAGAGTCAGGTCCCTCTGGATATGACCCCATCCTGCGTGAGACTGAGGAGTGGTCCCCTCCCCACCCACACCCACGTAAGAAAGTCTATACTCCTTAACCAAACCTTCCAAATCTTCCACTTCTGCTCTCAACTTCCATATCCTGCCCAGGACAACACCTCCAGCAGTTCATCGTTAAAGACAGGCACCTCGGTGATTCTCACTCAGGATCTGGAAACTCAAAACCTTTTTAGAAGGAGGCTTTGAATAAAGAGCAACGCGCGCGCCGGACTCCCGGTAAAAGCATGCGGGTGAAAGGCATCATCAAAGGGGAGAACTCCATCAGACTATAAAAGGCAGGCCCCAGAGGACGGGGACACTGGAACACGCGAGTCTCCACCCAGCAGAGGCATCGCCCGTAGAGCCGCGGAGCCGCGGAGCCGTGGAGCCGCGCTCCCCCTCCCTGCAGCCCCCGAGTCGCGGTCCCGCAGCGGCTCCTCCGCACCGCCCGCGCCGGCAGAAGCGAGGGGGCGCACAGCCAGCCCGCGCTCGGCAACGGGGAGCCTACCTTTCCGCGATGTAAAGGGTGCCGGTTCCGAGGCCCTTCCCGTTCAGCACAGCCTCTGTATCGGGTTGCTGCTGCCGAAGCCCCTCAGTCGACCCCGGCGGCGGGAAACTTTTGAGGAAGCTCATTGCGGCACACACCTCGGAGACACAGACCAAGAGGCAGACGGAACACGGCAAACCCTGTTCGCCGCGTCCCGCTCCGGAAGCGGTGACGGTGACCCCGGAAGAGGAACCTAGTTTGCACCGGAATTGAGCGCCATCCACCATAGAGACGGGACGTTCTATGGCCAGCTCTCGGAGGCCTGAGGAGACCTGGCCTAGTTTGTTCCTCGACTACCCTCCCCATCTCCCTCGGCATTTCTAGGCCCCAGTCTTGAAATAAGTGAGCGTCCTCCCCGGCATCCTACTTAAGGGTCGTCACAGCAACCTTGTGAGAAAGGAAGCACAGGCATAACATTTCTTTTTATACAAGAGGAAACAGAAGCCTGAGACGTGGGAGTCCCTTGCCCAAGGATGCACAGGAAGTAGAGACACACCAAGAGGTCAGAGGTCTCCCAATTGGGTTCCCAGCTCTTCTCATTGCTCTGGCCTCCTCGCAGCCTTGGCACTTCTCATCAGCCATGCCCCAGACATCAGTCTAGGCCCTGACACGGCTCTTCCATGAATCCCCACGGTTCAAGGTGGGCAAACGAGCCCAAAGACGTAAATAACTCCTGGTGAGGAGCAGGCTATGTCAGTAAGATGGGCACTGAAGGGAAAATAGTTAAGTCCACCAGATTTGGAACTCTTAAATAAGAGTTCTTCTTTAGGCACTGAAAAGCAAAGTATTAAAAGCAATAAAAACTTCTAAAATGATCATAGTAGTAGTAAAAGGCAACCAGTTGTTACGTGGCAGACACTGTTTAGGCACTTCACCTCTGTTATTCATTGCCTCTTTATGACAGCTGTATGAGAAAGTTATTATTGATCCAATTTTACAGATGAGAGCCCTAGGCACTAAACTGAATATCCAGCGTTAGCCATGAGAGAGCTAGTGGAGTTCAAGTCAGTCAGTCTCTGTAGGTGCCACTTTTCTTGCCAGTAAAATCAATATGAAAATAACTATGCTGTAGGATTGTTGAGGTTAGATGACAGGACATGTGGAATAGTTTTTTGTTGTTGTTGTTTCTTTTCTTCTATCTTCTGAAAAAATAGAGGAATATTAGATTTTTAAACTGGGATCGGTTTGTTGGTAGTGAGACTGGAGGAGAGGTACTCTGAGCAGGGAAAGTATTAGCAAGTTCTTGCCATAATACAGGTGAGAGAGGGTGGCAGTAAGGATGGAAATAGGGAAAGATTCTAGAGCTATTTTGAAGGTAAATCCTCAAAATCTGGAGACAGATTGGGTGCAGGGTGGGGGGAGATGGTGAAGTTGAAGCTCAGGATGGATAGAGAGAGAAATCAATGATTATTCCTAAATTTTCAGCATGTGGTTGAGTGGATGCTGGCTCATTTCAGCAAAACAGAGAATTCAAGAGCAGTAATATTTGAGAGTAGCTAACAAATCCATTATGGGAAATGGAGAGTTTGAAGTTTCCTGTGGGACTTTCATATGTGGTTGGCTGTTTAGTAAAACAGTCAATAATTTGCTCAGAAATGGAATTCTCCAAATATACAGAGAGAAGATTGGCTAAAATCTGCATAATAATTTCACATTAACTTGACATAATTTTTACAATGTCATTTTTTAAAAGTTATTGTCAAATGGCAAAACATTTTACCCAAGTTTATAACTGAAGAAATCCTTGTCATCTTAGCTATGACAAGGAGTTTGTCTCAAAGGAGGGTACCAGTAACAGTCTCAAAGGAGACATTTAAGCCCAAGTATGTCATAGAAAATTGAGGCATATCACCAAGATCTTAAAGAAGGGCAAGATTTGTTCATTCTTTTTATATCTTTATGAGTAACGTAAGCATTAGGCACTTACTAAATATCCCACATTTATATAGTGTTTTACATTTTAAAAGAATGCTTTTCTCGTGCATTATCTCCTTTGAATTTTACAGTAGTTATGTAAAGTTATGTAAAGGCAGTGTGGCTGTTACTACAACTACTTTACAGATAAGAAAACTGAGGGTCAGAGAAATTAAGTGATTTGCTGCAGGTTACTATACTAGTACTTACCTAGAAGTTAAATTGCTGCCTTTTTATGTGCTTTCACTAGAACCCACCACCTTTCAGAACCAGTTGGAAGAGACTTATACAGGATATTCCTGCCTTTTGGTGATAGTAAGAATTAAGCTTCCCATAAATCCATTCTTATTAGAACATGCTATTAATATGCACTCTTAAGACCACATCCTTAGACAGCTACATGTAAGAGAATGAAACTGGATCATTGTCTAACCCCATACACAAAAGTAAATTCAAAATGGATCAAAGACCAGAATGTAAGTCATGAAACCATAAAACTCTTAGAAAATACATAGGTAAAAATCTCTTGGACATAAACGTGAGCAACTTCTTCATGAACATATATCCCCAGGCAAGGAAAACAAAAGCAAAAATGAACAAGTGGGACTATATCAAGCGGAAAAGCTTCTGTACAGCAAAGGACGTCATCAATAGAACAAAAAGACATACTACAGTATGGGAGAATATGTTCATAAATGACAGATCCGATAAAGGATTGACATCCATATTATATAAAGAGCTCATGCACCTCAACAAACAAAAAGCAAATAATCCAATGAAAAAATGGGCAGAGGAGCTGAACAGACAGTTTTTCCAAAGAAGAAATTCAGATGGCCAACAGGCACATGAAAAGATGTTCCACATTGCTAATCATCAGAGAAATGTAAATTAAAACTGCAAATGAGATATCACCTCACACCACTTAGGATGGTCAACATCCAAAAGACAAACAACAACAAATGCTGACAAGAATGCAGAGAAAGAGGAGCCCTCCTACACTGCTGATGGGAATTTAAAATAGTTCAACCATTGTGGAAAGCAGTATGGAGGTTCCTCCAAAAACTAAAAATAGAAATACCATTTGACCCAGGAATTCCACTCCTAGGAATCTACCCTAAGAATTCAGCAGCCCAGTTTGAAAGAGACATATGCACCCCTATGTTTATCGCAGCACTGTTTACAATAGCCAAGAAATGGCAACCTAAGTGTCAATTAGTAGATGAATGGATAAAGAAGATGTGGTACATATACACAATGGAATATTATTCAACCATAAGAAGAAAACAAATCCTACCATTTGCAACAACATGGATGGAGCTAGGGGGTGTTATGCTCAGTGAAATAAGCCAGGCGGAAAAAGACAAGTATCAGATGATTTCACTCATTTGTGGAGTGTAAGAACAAAGCAAAAACTGAAGGGACAAAACAACAGCAGACTCACAGAACCCAAGAATGGACTAACAGTTACCAAAGGGAAAGGGACTGGGGAGGATGGATGGGAAGGGAGGGACAAGGGGAGAAAAGGGGCATTACGATTAGCAGACATAATGTAGGGGGTGGACATGGGGAAGGCTGTACAACCCAGAGAAGACAAGTAGTGATTCTATAGCATCTTACTACACTGATGGACAGTGACTGTTATGGGGTATGTGGTGGGGACCTGATGATGGGGGGAGTCTAGTAACCATGATGTTGCTCATGTAATTGTAGATTAATGATTTTTTAAAAAGTAGGTAAGCCTAGATCAAGTACAACCAGATTCACACACACACAAAAGACCATATCCTTGAGGGTGAGTGATGGAATTGAAGGGAGAACTGGTGAAAAATATGTACCTGAGATTCCCATGCTTCCTTATTAACATGATTGATATATGAAGGCTGTCAGCTGGGGCGTCAGTGGGAACTATCAGCTGGAATACCTTTACATATCTCTCCATGTGACCTGAGCTTCCTCATAGCACAGCGGCTAGGTTTCGAAGGTGAGCATCCTGAGAGACCAATAGAAGCTAAGTGGGTTCTTCTAACCTAGGCTTGGAAGTTACAGAGTATAACTATGAATAGGGTTTTCTGAGTTTTTACTTTATTTTTATTTTTTATGAACTTTGTAGTACTATATGCCTTAAAATGCCTGAAGCCCTGGCTGACACCTTGACTGCAGCTTTGCGAGAGACTTTAAGGTGAGGCACCCAGCTAAACTGTGCCCAGATTCGTGACCCACAGAAATTGTGTGTGAGATATTTATTATTTTAAGACACTAAGTTTTTGAGGTAAATTTAGCAATAAATAAATAGTAGGTTAACTAAAGAGCAGAGAGAGAATTTAGTACAGTATATGCACTGCACTTCTTCTTATACACTTGGTTGGGCAAGCTTATCCACGCCCATGGTTTGAATTATGCTGTGCAGATGAATCCCAAATCTGTATCTCTATCGTAGAACTGTATCATGAACTACAAACGTGTACATCCTGTGGCCTGTTAGACATCTCCACTTGGAAATACTGCCGACACCTCTCATTCAATTTATCAAAAATTGAACGTGTAAACTATGGATTTCGGATGACAATGATGTATCAATGTAGGTTCATCAATTGTGACAAATCACTTCTGATGGGGAATGTTGATAATGGAGGAGGCTATGTATGAGTGGGGCCAAGGAGTTTAATGGGAAATCTCTGTACCATCCCCTTGATTTTTCACTGAACGTAAATCTGCCACACAAAAAAAATTGTCTTAATAAAAATTTTGAATTTACCTTCTAACTAAATTCTTCTATTTCTCCAATGTCTTATTTTATGGAAAAATACCACCTTCCATTTAGTTGCTCAAGTTAGAAACAATAGATTTATCCTTATTTCCTCTTCCTCACTCTTCATACCCAATAATAGTAGTAATACAAAATCAACTCTGGAGGGCTAACTATATGCTCAGTAGAGTACTCACTGATCTAAGCATTTTACATGTATCAATTCATCTTCACAACAACCCTAGGAAATACATGCTATCATGATTTCTATTTTGAGATAAAATAAGTCAAAAGAATGAAGTAACTTGCCTGAACTAAGGTCCATAGCTTCTAAGTAGCAGAGCTTTATTTAGAGATTGGGCAGGATAGTGTGCACCCTTTTATCACTACTGCCTCGAGTCAGCCAATTCCCATCACGTAGCTCCTGTCTCTTGAATCTGACCCTTCAGTCCTCCACTGCTGCCCACTCGGGTCATGTTATCTGTTAATTAAACTGTTGGTCTTTGGTGGATTCTA